ACTCTACAATTGATGTATTGAGCACTATCCTAACGGTGGTGTTTTTATATCGCTCTGGTAATTCTGTCAACTCTGGGCATTAATTTATTAATTCCCCCTCTGATAAGGTTTTGTATGAAAGATACATACATTATATTTTAACATTCGATATATTTATTTGCAAAATAATACGCATGTCAAATGGGTTTGTGCGACCAGGAATGATACAATTAAAATCTAGCAGCTTGTAGGTACTCACGTGGAAACAACAGCAAAACCGCTTTACCGGCGTACTCTAATTTTCCATTCAGAATTGATTCAATTTTGAAGAATTATAACTTAAAATATAGTGTAATCAAGCACAGTCCAAGCCTTTTTGAAACACTTCTGGTATACTATAGAAAACTGTTGTCATCGCAAATTTCAGCCATCTATTACGATTCTGTATTTATATTCAAATAGCATTCATTTTCGTGGGTCAGCCATTCCAAGAATTGACTAAAATGCATGGATTGGGAAACGGTTCTTTAAGTATTTCCAATTATGTATAACCATTTTGCAAACACGAGTAACCAGAAACTGAGCAATGTCTTACGGGAATATAACTTGTTCATGGTGCGATGCAGTAACTTGGTAGTAGTAAGTTCCTCATTAACCGAAAGTACTAAGTTGAAGGTTTGAAACTTTGTGGTGTTGTGATGTAAATGTTAGTAATACAATACAATACTTCATTTTGAAGTTAAAATTAAGTCCTCAAAATGCTCAAAACTCATCTCAGGCCATCCATATGAAATCTGATGATTTCTTTGGGCTCATGGTAGGCGACAGGCCCCCTTATACCCTTCGAGCCTCGCCTCGTAGAGACACCTATTATTTTTTTACCTCCACCACAGGCATTTTACTAGATACCCATCTTCTCTGAAATTAATATTGACCAAAATGTCTTACCGTTTTTTAGCAACGAGAAAATCAGGTGTCATAATTCCTTGACTGGATATTCGGGCTGCTCTTTGTTCTAGTATCAGGAAGGTTGTAGGGCAATATGTGTAATATTGGACTGAATACAACAGTTTGTCAGGCTGCTATTCGACAAGATGTTACATCTTGTTAGGGTCTACTGCACCTTAATATACTCCACTGTATCATTCGAATTTCTCAATTATCATTGTCATTAATTAGCCAGTTTCTGTATTGTTTATTGTTTGTGCTTTGTAGGCAGTTAGTACGCTTCGAATTTGTGAGTGAAAAAAGTGTTTCTTAATTCGAAATACTCCCAAGAAAGAGCCAATCATCAATAACACATTTTACAACTTGCACATTAAGCTTGAATTTTGTGGCTAAAAGACATATCCTAAATCATAACGAATATCAACAAAAACCCTTCATCGAAAATGTTACTTATGTCAACTAACACCCCTTCCCCACCACCAATTCGATTATAAGTCTACTGCTCTCCAACGAAGGGCATGACGAAGGGCATCCTGTAATTTTCTCCTCTCACATGTACGTGTTTCAGCTTATATTTAAAAAAAACCATTGCCAATAATGGAACTTCTGATCACAGTTCATTCGTTCAGCGTAATAAGAAGTCTCAAACAACATTACTTGAATTGTTGAATTATTAATAAGTAATCTGCATTAATTTTCATTTCATGAACATGTACCAGAGATACACATTTCTGAATATGCATTAGTAGTCATTCAAGTTATGGACGCGAATATTTAATATTAACGTTATTCAATTATTCGTATTCATTGGTTTCACATTTCTAAGAGATCATTTCTAAGAGATTTCGGCTTATTGCCTCTTTAGAACGTATGATACACTTTCTGCATGTCAGCCCTTCCGACCATAATTACTGACAGAAGAAGTTCGGTTAATATTCTAGCCCATGCCGAATAGAAAGCTCAAGTATCGAGAAAATGTACAACTCATTGTGTCTCCCAAAGTGGATGTGGAGAATATTAAGACCAATGTATGGTAATGCTGGTATGATATATCGGTGAATCCATGTATCCAGATACGATATGCCACGATACGTGTATCGTATCGCGACGTCGTGTATCGATACTTGACGCTACCTTTTATTCCATAAAAAGTGCGGATTTTTATAAGCTGTTTTATGATATAACAATTTTTTCACTGAAATTGTTAGAAACCTTTTATAAGACAGTGGACGCTAACCGCTTCTATCAACTATATTACCAAATATCACAGTTATAAAGTTATAAATTAATATATATAGAAACTATTTATAAGACAGTGGACTCTAACCACTTCTATCAACTATATTACCAAATATCACAGTTATAAAGTTATAAATTAATATATATAGAAACTATAAGACAGTGGACGCTAACCACTTCTATCAACTACCAAATATCACAGTTATAAAGTCATAAATTAATATATATAGAAACTATTTATAAGACAGTGGACGCTAACCACTTCTATCAACTACCAAATATCACAGTTATAAAGTTATGAATTGATAAATACAGAAACTTTGAAGATAAAATGTTAATTTTTATCCCATTACCCGATATCACGATATGTATCGTATCGTGACCCGTGTATCGCAATATGTGTCGTATCATGACAGGATTGACGATACCCAGCACTAATGTATATAGTACACCAGATAAATTGTAAAATAGAGCAAGATAACAACTTACGAGTATTATACCATGATACTATGTTCTGTTATTTGATTGTGAGTTAGACGCTTGCTCACTAACCTGAGAGTCCAGGGTTCAATCCCGGCATAGGTCGAGATGATACCTTCGGATTTTTCCCCTTGTCAGTGATACAGGTAAGAGGGGCTGACATGGAAAATGCGTCTTGTCGTTCGGATGGGACAATAAACTGAGGCCCGTGTGCTACAGGCTGTGCACGTTAAAGATCCCCGCACAGTTGGAAATCGAAAAAGAGCAGGCTAATGCCGCTGTCCTTGCAAAATATCCCTCATTGCACTCTGCATGGCATCGCCAGTCTTCATTAGCCCAGATGGTGCAGAAAAGTAGGACGTAAAACTCCATTCATTTCATTCATTTTTTTTATTTGATGTGATCTCGAACACTAGATGTTCTTCAAACTATTTAATATCATATTCGTTCAGTAAAATAAGAAACTATAGACCTCTTAATCTTTACAGAGTCGTCTCCCATATTACACAGGTACTAAACTAAAGGTAATAGTCATCTGTTTTATAAAATATTACGAGTCGTTTAAACTCCTTGGACCTCATTCTCGAAAACTTAAGTAAGATAAAATCCAGATTTTAAGAAATACAATAATCTGATTGGATAATAAAAACAATATTCAAAATCATTTTTAGTGATTGACCAATCATATGAATGGAACACTAATATCATCTTAAGTTAGGTTTCCAAGAATAAGACCCATGTATGCATATCTAGGACACCAGCAAACACGCAACTCCAACAAAAACAAATAGTTTCAAATGTGTTGCTGGAACGTTACACCATAAGTAATCTGTGTTGAACACGCAGAAATAGACGTATATCTAAAGTACAATAATATACATACATATATATACTAATAATGCATTATTGAATGAGATACAGAGCTAAAGAGATGCCAATAACAACAGAACAAAGATACAGTTGTTTTCTCAAAATGTCCTTGCACATTTTGAACAGTCGTGTTCACAGGTATTTAACCAGACTTGATTGTTCGGAGGGGCAAGTAATATATCTGGAGGGGCAATGGTGTTTAGTTAAAACCTTTATAATCAATAATTCAATTCGCAGCTCTTCAACAAAAAAGTAGATAACTACATTTTTGGCCATAAAGGTCCAGAACGAAAACCAGCTTACTGGCTCAAACGAACTTGATCGTATCCAGATCAAGGGAGACAACTGATCATAAACAATTAGATAAATATTAGAAGTACGCCAACTTGTTCCAGTTATCATCATAATTAATTATGCAAGCAGTTGCGCAACATTCTGATGACATTAATGTGGGCGTATATAGTCTGTCTGTCTGCCCGTCTTGTTGTGGACACAATAGAGTCATAAAGAGCTGGTTTCTTGATTGATTTTGACAAAATGTGGTGTGAGTGTTTGTAAACATTAAAGGAAGAACCCTATAGAAAATCAGACAAATCGAAACATATTTAATGAGTTATTGCCCTTGTTCTTGAAAATTTGTTATGGACACGATAGAGAGCTGGTTTCTTGGTTGATTTTGATAAAATTTAGTGTGAGTATTTGTAAACATCCAAGGAAGAACCCTATAGAAAATCAGACAAGTAGAAACATATTTAATGAGTTATTGCCCTTGTTCTTGAAAATGTGTTATGGACACGATAGAGGGCTGGTTTCTTGGTTGATTTTGATAAAATTTAGTGTCAGTATTTGTAAACATCAAAGGAAGAACCCTATACAAAATCAGACAAATTTTTAATGAGTTATTGCCCTTGTTCTTGAAAATTAATTTTGGACACGATAGAGAGCTGGTTTCTTGATTGATTTAGTGTGAGTGTTTGTAAACATTCAAGGATAAACCCAAGGAACTCAAGGAAAATCAGACAAATGAAACAAAAATTTAATATGAATTATTACCCTTGTTCTTGAAAACACGTTGAATTTTTATTCGAAAATGTGCTGTAAATGTTTCATTTACTGTCCAACCTCACGGACAACTTGGCTACCATTACAATTGTGGGCGTATCACGATGGCCATCGCCATTTTAAAATAAATTGGCACTACACCCACCTATATAGTTCAAGTTATAAATACAAAAGTATTGTACACACCCACCTGTATAGTTCTATAGAATACAAAAACTTCAATGTTGAAAGTTGCTCACGATAAGAAAATATTGTGGATAAGGAGAACAAGTTTCCTTAGACTGAAATTTGATAAAAGTTTATATTTTCGTTTTCTGTTTAGAATATGATAAGATTTTATATGTTCGTGTTCTATTTAAATTACGATTCAGATTCATTTATTTTTAATTCTTCTGTTTAAAATGCGATTATATTTTAGTTTCTCATATGCTGGCTAGATGCGATAAGGCGATCCACGTGTCTTTCTGTATAAGCAATAAAAGCTTCATTGATTGCAACTGGGACACTAATTGACACGGAGCAAGGTGAAGGTCATAATATGAGATGTCAAGGTCGATTATACATCTACACTACTCGTTGGGCTTCAGTAACCAAATCAAGTGCAGAACAGTCGGGAGAAAAACTCAATTTGACATCTTAAGGTAATATGATTAATGTAAAGGAGGATAATATGAACATTTGAATAAAACGAAATCTACCAAAATATTTCAGGTGTTTGTGCAATGAACTCTGGGTAAGCTGAAATGGTTGACCGTATTTTTAGAGGTGGTTAAAATATTTCCTTTTGCATCCTGTTGAGCCCAGTTTTCAGCCTGAGTCCGATTATAGAAAATAGTAATGAATAGTAATAATTGGCTACTATCTACAAAGTCAGACCTCTATATAAAACTTTGAACACAGCATGTACATGTAGAACTAATGGCATCAAAATGGCAACCATATCAGTATTGAGGAACGCTGATCGTTTAAAAGTTTGCATTGAACGATCTCTATCACTGCAAGTCCAGACGAAATGTGAAATGAAACATCTCTCCGTTCCAGTAATTCTACCTCAACATGTTGATAGCAAGTCTAATGACATCGATTTGATTCGAATTTGTAAAATCTTCATTTTAATAGAAAACATGATAAAGACAATAAATCTGTGGTTACCATGGAAACAGAATAGTAATTAAAATAAGATAATTGGAAAAAGTTAAACGAATAATTTGGAAAACTGTTTGAGACGAATGGGTAATATGTAAGTCAATAACAGTTGGATTTCCTCAAACTAAAAAAACACCCAATTATTTTACCGTTTAAAACAGATACCTGGTTCATATTTAACACTATTATGACGTTTCTGTTACTACAAAACATCTTAACTAGTGGCGCCACCAGTGGGGATACAATTTGCCCCCCCCCCCCCCCTTCTAGAAATATGGTTTGAACCCCCAATTGTTGACACACTTCATTTCTAACAGATTTAAAAATATTATTTTATTGACGTCTTTGCCCCAAAAATATGTGTCAGAATGCACCTACTCAATTAATTTTTTCAAAAGTTTCTTGGGAAAGAACCCTTTCAGAGGCTCCATGGGAGGTTTACACCACTATATGCGCTTCAACAGAGCTGCTGAATTTTGAAACGTCGATAGTTGTCTCTTTATTTGTACCCCCAGTCTTGGAAGGCTGGCGATGACACTGATCTTATCCTCTTCCCAAAGGTTTTAGATAAGAGATTTATTGTCTGATTTCGCAATGTAATTTAAAATTAAGGAAGACTTACTCTCATCTCTATGACTTTATATCGTGATAACTTGTGACTCTTAAATGTTATGATTTTAGAATGACAACGACTTTGACAAAAGAAGAACTCCATTTTATGATTCACCATGCTTTAAAGATATAATGATAAGCCAATACTTCCAATATCATTCGATATTTTTTTAGAAGCCTGTTTTGTGTTTTCCTGCGATGGATCAAGGGAGCCATTTCGCTTTTAGAGGAATACGCCTGAGATTGAATGATCGCTAGCCAGTACAGCCAATTAGAACCCTCGACAGAAAGACTGTAAACAATTTGGAAGCGCATGTAATCGAGGACCATGATTGGCTATATTCGCTGCATTAACAAACTTCAATGACATGAGAAAGGTGTCCATTGCAGTACCTGATCCGTGTGTTTTATAATTTGAAGATCCCATCATCGGAAAGCTTCATATTAAGCCACTTACTTGAAGATTCCATATAATCAAATAGGATCGTTTGAAGATCACGTCATCTGTAAGCTAAGAATATTGGGGTATTATATCTGGGCCTTATTCTTTAAAACTTAACTTATATAAATGATTTCAGTGTTGCACTCATCTGATTGGTCAATCACTAAAATCGATTTTAAATTTAGTTTTGTCATCCAATCAGATTACTGCATCTCTCAAAATTTGGATTCTATGTAAGTTAAGCTTTGAAGAATAGTGCTCTGAGGTAAAAAAAACGAAGACCAAAGAACCAACTTACATGTGAGCTCCTTCAGAACATTCATCAGTATCATGAGCAGAAGGCCTAACTGTAGCGAAAGCTTCAGGAGCTATCTGTTCTAAATGTTCACCGGTAACAGATGAAGATCGTCGTAAACTCCTTCTTCTATGAGCAAGAGAAGCAGTTGAAGGTGGACCTCCGCCTGTCGATGTAGCAGCTAATTCTCCAAAGAATCTCACCATAGAAGGCATGATGAGCTGATGGTTCCTTCAACACTACCGATAGTCGGTACACTCTCTGTAAAGGACATTCGTTCTGCGAACCGTTTCGTCGGTTAAAAGCACGAAACACTGATCAAATTCCGGTGGTAAACTTTAAAAAATGTTTCGGATCGAAGTCTTTGCTGACGCCTTACCCGATCCTGTTGCACTCATATACGTATAAGTATAAATAGTACATTCCTAAATTCATGTAAGTCGTTACTCTGTTATGAATCACTGATCAAAATTGGGTAGACTTTTAGTTTCCGATCGAGATCTTTTGTGATACTTTATCAGATTCTTGCTCCAGAATAGATACGATATTAATAACTCTACTCGAAAACATTGATCAAAAATACCATTTAAAAACGTTTTGCATCAGTCGTTGCTAACGCTTGATCCAATTGAAGTGCACTAGAGGCATAAATTACTCATTCAGAAACACAACAGATAATCATAAAATCCACTGACTCCGAATGAATGAAAAAGATGTTAATTCACACGATAGTTTTTTATTCCACTCTGAAACCTGTGAGAAATGTTACGTTACTATTTCTGGAAGCTTTCTGTTCCTACTTCCGGTACAGGTGAAAACGGAAGTACTTGTTTTGTCGTTTCACTCCCTTTATACAAAACAAAACACTTAATAGAAGGAATCGTTTCAATTACATTCGAGTAATCGAGCTAGTACCACAATAGCCTTGTACTCGACATTTACGTGGCCAATTCCGCCAAGTGTTAGATTTACTAAACCACTTGAGAATTGCAACGTTACAATGGTACAGAAACATGTTGAAATATGTCGAGTAACAAGTTAAGTGTTTATAAGAAATGTACAAGGTTGTTTAGATTGTACGAGGTGGTGTTTACTAAACATACTCCAAGATTAGACAAGTTACAGTTACACATAATTAATTTTACAGTCACTGTTTCCAGATAAGATCGTAACTACATGCACAATATGAACACGATATTGTTGTGTCCTTAACCATATAACATAAACGATATTGCCGTGCCTTTAGCCGCCACAATTTAAACTGTGCGTACGACATTGTCGTACTCTAAACAGCCACAATATACACTATGCGTACGATGTAGTCGTGCCCTTTATCACCACTATACACTATGCGCACGATATTGTCGTGTCCTTTACCACCACAATATACACTATGCGCACGATATCGTCGTGCCTTTTAAAACTCCACACATTATGCACATGATATGGCTCAACATTCAGCAACTCGTGTCCTATGCGCAAGATATTGCCATGACCGTTAGTACACCTGCACTATGCGTAGGATATTGTCGTCTCTTTTATATCCCCGAACGCTACTATTATGGCATGGTTAAATATGCCCATTACATTTATGTTGTAATTCCGTTTACCACACGACTCATTTTGGACAAGATATTGCCGTGACCTTAAACAATGTTCACCATGTACACGATATTGGTATTGTTATCCCCATAAACACTATTTATTATGTGAATGGTATCGCTTTGCAAAAACACCCCCCTCAGTTTTCACAACGCACAGAAATGACTTACTGCCTCAACTTGTTTAGGCCTACTTTAAGTGTAAAATATTTTTGTATCACACGGTGAATTTTTGTCCGCGGTAGATTTTACTGTTGTATATCAGTGTCCTTTGTCTTCATAAAATTTGTAAATATATGAAAACTGGCCCTTATATGTCTATTCACTAAAGGAAAAAATGTCGTTAATATCTAAACAGACAATTTATTTCTTTTTAATAATCATCCACAGTAAATTAAAACGCCCTTATTATTCCTTCATACAATACTCAAGAAGCATCACACAAATATCTGTTAAAATAAAAACTACTGGTGTAACAGTCATGTCATAAGAATACAATATCAGCCTCTTCCAGGCATCACAAGCATTACTCAATTCCCAATTCAATCATTCCTTAATTATTAAAACAAATATAACACAATCCCTGTAATCTAATAAACAAGTTGGTGTCCAATTACAGAACGGTGTTCATATAGAACGGACAGAAATGAGCAGTTTAAGATTTAAGAAAATTCCACATGCTTGGGAGTATTATCAAATATCCTGACCCGTAAGCATCGATGACAGGTTTAAAAACTGCCACATGCTTGTGAGCGTTATCTGGAATTCCAACTTCCCATAAGCGTCGCGTCGATGGTGCAATTTCACAGATTTAACATTGTGCCACAATATAATACACTGTTACCATGCCACTCGACTGATATCGAGATATATTTCAACAATAAGTCTCTCACCAAGCACAGTGCTATAAATAACAGTGTTTAAACAGACAGACCCATTCACTAATTCTTCTGCCTGTACATGTAGACAACGTTCTCACGTTCACAACTCTACCAATTATATTTAGCATGTTGGTTTACGATCTTAGAGATAATGGTCAGGTAGTGTAGTCCGAGATTCATACCCATGGCAATCTGACTTACTGACTGCTGTATTGTAACAGAAACGTATAAGCCATTCCAGTTTACGCTCCTGGAGGCTATGTGTAGTCCGAGAATCATACCAAAAGAAAACTGACTGACTAAAACCCCTGCTCTTTTGTTTCAGATAAGTAATGGATAGCATTAAGACGATAAAATCACCTTTCATTACGTCTACATATCTCTATGTATTAAAAGACAAAGACGACACTATGTCTCGTAAAATGTATGGCCTAAATATCAATAGTAAAATAACAAATTGACAGAAAAACACAGAACTTGTGGGTTGTCTACGATTCAAAACAGAATTATAGTCAAAGTCGTTTAATGCGTATATATCGCTCTACGTATTAAAGAGCCAAAACGATCTAGAATAAGGTATAGCTTATACCTTACTATCACAATAGTGAAAGAACTAATTGACTGTAAACACTAAACTTGAAAGTTGTCTACGATTTAACAAAACGAAAGTAGTCAAATGTATAAAGCGAACTATATTATGTATCTGGCTCTGTTCCAGTTATAAGAATGATATAACGGTACCATGAAGAAATAGGTGTATCTGTTCTCCATCTCCTGTCACTAGAAACTAGTTTATGATTTACCCTTCAACTCAATACAGATTCACATCAGATGTTTACAGTACAGAATACAATCACTTAAACCGAGGATCACAGGCACTGTCCAAGATACGCCCAAGATCACTTACAATGGTTAAACACAACTCAGCTCATTATACAGATTGACATCAGACGTTGGTATACAGTACTGTTGAACTGTTGGTTAACCACGTTGACTACAATAGACTACATTAGGGTACCTCCTTGATCAATCAACAGAGTACAGTTCCAGAACCATATGAAGCTATTCTCAACTCATCTACTGGACACTGAACAATTGAAACATTTGCCTAGTGTCGAGCCAGCCTTGACTATAGCCGTAAACAAGCATAACTTTAAATCATTAGGTTCAATACCAACCAACCAAAATCAACCTGCAGTTCAATGCTCAATGTAAGACTAAGTTGGATACAAACAGTGATAAGAAACAATTTGAATATTATCTATAATGTTCTATAATACTTTATTTTAATATCACCTAAGTGGAAAAAGCATTAAATTCTAATACACATTAACTAACAAAGGTATAAGTAAGACGTAAAGAATACATCTAATAGCTTAGTAACCACGAGCTTATTCCACCTTCGACACCTCATCCGTCAACAAAACCATTTGCTAAATTAACCCTCTGAGAACCAAACTATTTATAATATAGGTCAAAACCTAATCACTCATCATCTCTATTATATACAGCGCTCATTCATAATAACATCATTTAGAACATTCCAAAGAAATTTTCTCAATATTTCTTTAACAAATTTTCAAAATTACATAGTATGGGAAAAACCTGTATCGAATACTAAGACATTTTTGTTATTAAATTAGGTTATTAGGTTTGGACCACATAACAAAGAAATGGAACCTTTAAGACAAAACAAATGACTACCTTTCAATTTATTTTTTCAGAAAATGATCCCAACAATGTTTGGAAGAATGGGGAAAACCGAGTAAGTAACGTCACGCGAGTTTCACCGCCATGGTCGCCACCCGACCACATCTTGCGAATCCTCCAACACGATTACCAACAGCTGCCTAATGGCGATATTAGTTTGGATGCGTTGGAAGCGGACGTAAACTTGTCATCTACCACAAATTCTTTATATCTCTGAAGGTACGAAGAACATAGATTAGTAACCAACTTCCATTCCATTGGTAAATCTGACACGAAATCATATTGGTAGTGAGAGACATTTGCCAATAACTTTACAACAGCCTGATGACATAAACACGAGCGACGTCCATCAAATAGCTTCTGCACGATAACCAAACTCATACTGTTGTAGCCATTTCAAACTATCACGGAATTCGTCCTGTCCTGATCGTAAAACATGAGCTTAAAGCCGAATCTGGTTTTGTAACACATTGTTCCACGTTGTTCACTGGGAATTCTAGAGAGTTTACATAATCGTAATTTCTATGATCATGTTAATTTCATCTGTATATAAAGAATGAAAATCCTACTCAGCCCGTGTATTGTAAAGCATTCTAAAACTTTTGCAATTTATACAAACAACAACCATAATTTCTGAAATGGTGTTAAACGTCCCATCAACGATTTGCCGTTTCTAACTCTGAACACATATGTCCGTCAATCTTTTCTTTGCACCCTCGTTGGTATAATTAAAATTATGACAAAGGTCATAACTATGTAACTTCAAATAAAGTCATACAGCTATGTACTCTATCCAACCCTCCAAAACAGTAAAAGAATTCCTGAAATAGAATTGTCGTTTGAGCAACTATTTGTATCATAGCCAAAAAGTATTCTTCATACGATTAACCATCAAAAATAAATTAAAATGCACCGAAAAGAAAACATTCGAATAGGATTTTCACTCGCTGACTTTTTGGAGGTTGAATACTTTTAACTTCTTAACTTTTTTCTTACGAACCAACTGTAAGATATGAGAGTTAT